GACTCAATCAGTTTCCAACACTGCCACATTGAAGATCAAATTTCCACATGAGTTTTGGAGGAGACAACACCTCCAAACGCCATCAACCGCTAACTATAACATCAACAATACTTTCATAGCTACAGAAGTACACAAACAAACAAAACAAAACTTAGCTTACATTTTTTTCCTTGAAAGGAAATCTCACTTAGTTGCTAAAACTTAATAGTAGACATGTTTCTCATAAATATAAAATATATTTGATCTTAAATAAAGGCTTACATGGGGAGAAAGAGGTATCAGAAAGAAAAACAAAGGGGCCGCCCGTGGCTCACTCGGGAGAGTGTGGTGCTGATAACACCAAGGCCGCGGGTTCGGATCCCATATAGGGATGGCCGGTTGCTCACTTTGGTGAGCGTGGTGCTGACAACACCAAGCCAAAGGTTAGGATCCCCTTACCGGTCATCTTAAAAAAAAAAAAAAAAAGAAAGAAAGAAAAACAAAGAGAGGGAGAAGAGGTTCATAAGACACTGCCTCCATGGTTTTCAGAGTCCAGGGAATTAAAGATTTAACTCATTTATACTACTAATCTTTAATGAAAAGAAAAATCTTTGAGATTCTATAAACAATAACAATTTCAAACTTTACCCTTTACAACTGAGGCAAATTCTAATTTTGGAAAAGGCAATGGTACATTTCCTTCCATAGGGAAAAGAAACCTAGTCCTTCCACTGGACAGTTCATTTATTTCCAGTTTGAGGCCTCACATACCATAAGACACCAGCAATTCATGCAAATAGATTACTCCAAAGTGTCTTTACCCAAACTAATCAGAATCTCTAATTACAGCAATATCTAAAATTACAGCAATGCTATTGACAGAGATCTAGTAATACTATTTGATTCCATTTAGCTATCCTATAGACAGTTGGCAATGATTCGTTTGACCCAAATTTACAGGGATGTGAAGAAGAGAAGGAACTAATATCTGTTAAGCATCTATTAAGTATCAGTTACTTTACACATATTACATCATTTAATCTTTACAACAAACACATGTGGTTGTTAGATCCGTTTTATAGATGAGAAAACAAGACTCAGTGAAAGGAAATCTCTTAAGTTAGGAAGTGACAGAGCCAGTGTCAAATCTGATTCCTTTTGAATCCAGTCCCTTTCCTCCTATGACATTGACTTAGAACTATGCTACCATGGAGACAGGGTGAATAGGTTCTATCCTTAACTGGTAATAAAAACTATACACATTCTGGTTGCAACTATTTCAGAAGAGAATATACTTCTACATAAGTAAACAATACAAAAATACTTACTGTGTTAAAGAAAAGAGGAGTTCATGTTGAGATTTGATGAAAGGCATGCAACTCACTAATATTTCTAGAATATGGTGGAGTTTTTGAACACGATAAACCTGTTCTTGTATATCTACTGATGGAGAAATGAAGTATTCCTGGAATAAAAAAAGTATAAACAAAATAGGGAATTAAAGAACAAGTATATTCCTTGGAAAGACTATAGCTATGCTTGCTAAACCTAAGTATGGATGCTTGATAATAGGGAGAAGAAAAAAAAAAAAAAAGACTGGAGGCAGCTAGATAGAATTTGCCACCTTTCAATATCATTCTTCAGACTAAACTATAAGTCTTCACTAAGAATGCTCTAAGCAGGCCATTATACATATTCTGTGGTAAACACAAATCACAGAACTACTTCACCAAGGGGGCCCAAATGGGTAACCAATACCACCCATCAACTCTCCAAGTGGAATGAATGGCAGATCCACAAGACAATTCTTAACCTCAGTATACTTACTAAGTTGATGGAAGTGTCCACCTCTAAAAATAGATAGTAAACCTGAAGTACTGAGAAATTCAGCAAGTATACTGACACACTTCCACTCTCATATACCATATTACTGGTAAATTGGTACAGCCCTTTGGAAAAAAAATTGGCAATGTACATCAAGCATCATAAAATGCTCAGACCTTCTAATCCCATTTCTGAGAATCCATCTTAAGAAAAT